TGCTAGCACTGGCTCATGTTCAAGAGCCTTCCTCATTTCTTACATTGCCTATAATATTTTGACTCTGAACTACTGAAGATCTTAATATTTAAAGGTTGATTCAGCTCTAAGAAATTCCTGACATTACTTAAGTTTTCAAATGATTTAGAAGGGCTTTTCAAAATGATTTTAATGGAAAATTTTTAAACACACAGAAAAAAATTTTTAAACACATAGAAAACAGTATAATGATTCCCCCATGTACCCATCAATCAGCTTCAGTAATTATTCACATTTTGAATAACTTGTTTCATCTATAAACCTCTGCACTTCAATGGAATATTTAAAGTCATTATGAAACATCCTATCAAATCATAGGACTTATCTATAGTGTATCCATAGTTATAGCTCTTCCTTTTTTTTTGTACCAGGGATTGAATTCAGGGATACTCAACCACTGAACCACATCCCCAGCCCTATTTTGTATTTTATTTAGAAATAGGGTCTCACTGAGTTGCTAAGCACCTCACCATTGCTGAGGCTGGCTTTGAACTTGCAATCCTCCTGTCTGAACCTCCCAAGCCACTAGGATTACAGGCATGCACTACCACACCCGGCTCTATAGCTCTTCCATTTTATCCCACGTTTTTTAATTGGCACTTTTAAGTGGCATAGAGCACTCATTCCAATTTTTTTTTAGTTTTTATTTTTTTTAGTACTGGGGATTTAACGTGGGCACTTAACCACTGAGCTACATCTCATCCCCCCTTTTTTTTATTTTGAGAGAGGATCTCACTAAGTTGCTGAAGCCAGCTTTGAACTTGTGATCCTCCTGCCTCAGCCTCCCAAGCTACTGGGATTACAGGAGTGCACCTGGCTCAAATAATTTTAATTTGTACATTTGTCTCTATTCTAGGCCAGTTTGCTCAGAGGGGTATTAGTTTTCTGTGTGAATTTACTTTTGGTTTAACTAATTTTTCTATTGCTTCTTTAATTTCTACATCATTCATTTCTACTCTTCATTATATCATCCCTTCTACCTACCTAATCAATTACATTCCACATTCATTGTATTTCAGTCTTTTTTCATATAATATGAAGTATATGTACTTTGGCTTTAAATTTGCCTTTGAGTACTGCTTGGGTTGGCTATATTCAACAATCCTGGATCAAAGATGGAATTTTGGGGCTGGGGATATAGCTCAGTTGGAAGAGTGCTTTCCTCCCATGCACAAGGTCCTGAATTCAATCCCCAGCACCACATACACACACACAAAAAGATGGAATTTTCATTGTCATTCAGTTCTTCATGTTTTATTATCAATTCTCAGGGTAATTAATACCATTTCTCAAATTTACATGTCCAAGCCTGACCTCTTCTATGAATCCATACTCGTATAACCCTTTGTTTACTTTACATCTTCAGTTGGAATTAAAATAGTAGGCAACTCAAACCCAAAAGAGTAAAAAAAAAAAGAAATAATAATTCTGGAAAACCTGCTCCTCCTTCCATTTCCTCTCTTTTGTGGAATGGCTTCATCGTTCATCAGTTGTTCAATCAAATCTTGATGCTGGGGATCAAACTCAGAATACTAACTATATGCTCTACTGCTGAGCTATACCCCCACCCTCAACTGAAACTTTTTAAAAAATATTTATTTTTTAGTTATAGGTGGATACAAGATCTTCATTTTATTTTCATGTGGTGCTGAGGATCGAACCCAGTGCCTCACGCATGGTAGGTGAGCGCTTTACCACTGAGCCACAGCCCAGCCCTCAATTGAATCTTAAGTTGGGTATTATTTCTAAACTCTCCTGAATCTCCCATGTCAGAAAGTCCCTTTGTTCTACCGGTACATTATTTCTTGCATCAATTCTCCATTTTCCATAGCCCTATTCCACCATACTGGTACCAGCCACAATAACTTCTTGCACAGACTAGAAATAAATGGCATAGCAGGATCCACCCTCTTATATCCCTAACTTGAGGTATCACTAATCCTCCTGATCACAGGTAATTGAGCACTTTCCTACTGGCTTGAGAGAGCAGCAATAATAAAACAACTCCCACCCCCTCCCTGTTGATATATGTCAATTCCCTCATTCTTCAGTGTCCAGGGAATGATGCTGGAGAGACAGTTACCATGGTGACCTAAAAATTTTCAGGTATAATTTGTGAAGTGTAAAAATATGGGAGGTTCTAACTGCAGTAAAACAAATGAACTGGGAAAAGCTTGCCCCCAAACCAGAAATGAGCTCTCTTGACCTGGTACTCTATTGAGAACAGGAACAATCAGCAATCAGAGCAATGCTTTTTCTCTCAGCAGATGCAAATACTTCTCCAGCTGAAGACCAACGACACAATTTCATCTTCTGCAAACCTGCACATCCAGAGTTCAAACCACTCTGTGTTTACTCTGGCTGAATACCACATCTTCAGGTACCCAACTACTAAAAGACTAATCCAACTCTCTTTATAATGAAACTCCATAATCCCCTTTTTGTTTGGAGACCTTATATCCTATTTTGCTGGGATACAACCCTCAATGACTTATTGATGAAAAAGAAGATAACTAGAAATTTAGTTTCAACAAGCAGGACATTTTGCTATACTGTACCAATTAAGCTATATTCCCCAGGACAGGTTTTGGGAGCCTGGCACTGGCTCAAAACTTCAAATTAATATATTGACTCCAATCTGAATATTGCACTTGGTTGCCAGTCAGGTTGTCTGTGGAAGGACTGGATGATTGAACAAAGAGAGGAGGAACATGACTTAAGCATTCCTCAGCCTCTGGATCCTGCCTCTACTAGTTGTGTGAACTTGGGTAAGGTAGTTAACCTCTGTGTTTCAACTTCCTCATCAGTAAAAAGGAAATAATAACAGGAAGCACCTCATAGGTTTGAGGTGAGGATTAAATGAAGGAACATACGCAAAGTCTTTAAAAGGGTACCTAGTGCATTACAAGTGCCATGCTGTGGAATGTCATCGTAACTGTACCAAACACTTCTCTCCAAATTCTTTGAACATCCATGTAATGGATTACCTAAACCCTCCCTCCCAGCCTCTTCACACAGAATTCATTGAAGTCACTAGCTTTAGACTACTCTCCCCAACATCATTAGGGGTGGGGAATCCCTTTATGAGCTAACCAAGTAATTCCTTTCACAGAAGGAACTGTCTTCAGTCATGAAGACACCTGTGGAATGCTTGCTTATTTGGGGAGGGGATTAAGGCTCCATGAATCAAGGTGAGATGACCCAGGTCTAAGGGAAAGAGTAACTCAAATTTCCTGCACAAGGATAACTCAGAAACTTTGGAGGATGGGAAGCTGGAGAGCCAAGGAGATGAAGAAGAACAAAGGCCAGGCAGGCAGTTGAATGGAAGAGAAATTTAAGGGAAATTATCCCACTATATTTGTGTGTGCACAGTTTGCTAACTAGTTAATTTTTTCAACTGATTGGCCTTTGAAAAATAATTTATTTTGACATTGTTTAGTACAACACAAACTCAGTTAAAAAGAAATAGCTTTCAAGCACAAAAGGGGAAAAAGTAAATGTGAAAGTCCCTCAACTCCTGGCAGTCCAGTTTGGTGTGTATGCCTCTAAATCTACTTTTATACACAGACAGTTTAATTCTTTTTCTGTAGAAGTTGGGTCATAGCTGTCACAAGGTTTGGAGATTTTCTTTCCTATTGTCTGTTGTGCTATGATGAACTTTCTCCATTGTCCCAAACCTACAGCAAGATCTTGCTACCAGCTCTTGGAGCTATCTTCTTGATTTCCATCAAGTTTCTCTCAGAGAAAGGCAGAATACTAATAATAATCACTGCCTAGATGTCCCTACACTATCAGGCAGTCAATTCTCACCTTCATTCCTCATGACACCCCTTGGAAGTCATTCCCACTATTAGTGCCTATGGGGGTCACAGATGAGGGCTCGAAAGGCCCAAAAAGCAAAGGGTGAAAAGGAGGAAAGTAAAGAAGACAGAGGCAGGACTCAGACCTCCACTGTCTCTTTAAATCTTCACAATGATATTATGAAGGAGCTGTGACCACAAATGAGGAAACTGAGGCTACCGAATTCACACAGCAAGCAGCATGTCTGCTCCTTGCTGGGATTAAGCACTGAGACTTCACCAGTCCTCTCATGTCATAAGTACATCCCTTTCTATAAAATGTTGATGAAAGAAAAAACATTTCTTTAAAAATGGAAAAATAGCTGGGCATGGTGGCCCACTCCTGTAATCCCAGCAGCTCAGAAGGCTGAGGCAGAAGAATCATGAGTTCAAAGCCAGCCTCAGCAAATTAGCGAGACCCTCTCAAAAAAGAGGGGGTGTGCCCCAAAGTTCAATCCCTGGTACAAAAAAAGAAAAATATACAGTGTTCATTGAATAGAACACTCAATATAGTAAAGATGTAAATTTCCCCCAAGGTGATCTGTACATTTAACATAATTATTATCCAAATATTATCAAGATTTATCATTAATATAGGCAAGCTTACAAAACCTATAGGAAAAGGTAAAGCAACTAGAATAGTTAAAACAATTTTTAAAGAGAAGAATAAACTGGGGGAATATCTTTATTGCAAGTTAAAATATTGGATGGATACAGTAAATTGAGACAGTAGGATCCTTGGGGAGTGATAGATACAGGTCAAGGGAAATGAGTAACAGACCAGCACAGGTACACTCAACTGACTTTACAAATGGTGTAACAAACTTCAATGGAAGAAGGATAGAATTTTTTAAAAAAATGGTGTCGGAATAAATGTTCATCCATAGGAAAAAAATTGAACCTCACACTATCTACGAAAATGAAATCAAGAGGCTGGGGTTGTAGCTCGGTGGTAGAGCACTTGCCTAGCATATGTGAGGCACTGGGTTCGATTCTCAGCATTGCAAATAAATAAATAAATAAATAAATAAATAAATAAATAAATAAATAAACAAGCAGGGCTGGGGTTGTGGCTCAGTGGTAGAGTACTTACCTTGCACATGTGAGGCGCTGTCTTCAGTCCTCAGCACCACATATAAATAAATAAAGGCATTGTGTCCATCTATAACCAAAAAAAAATTAAAAAAACAAAAATGCAAGAGAATAAATTTCTGTTGTTAAACAAAAAAAGAAAAAAATGTCAATCAACAACTAAAAGAAAAAAAATTTTCAAAAACAAATCTCTTTAATAGTTTAAAAAAAATAAACTCAAAGTGGACTGTGGACTTAAATATAAAAATCATGAAACAATAAAAACATGAAAAATTACATATTACACTAACAAAATTAAAAGTTATTATGCTGAAAAGATCCTATTAAGAGACTGAAAATACAAACTACAGATTGGGAGAACATATTTGCAAACTATATATACAACAAAGGATTGGTATTCAGAATATATAAAGAACTCTCAAAATCCTATAGTTAAAAATAAAGATCCAGTTGGAAAATAAGCAAAAGGCATGGATAGAAAAGAGGATATACAGATGACAAAGAAGAACATGAAAATATGTACATCATCATTAGCCATTAGGGAAATGCAAAGTAAAACCACACCAATGAGAATGGCTAATATAAATAATGGTAATAACAAATGTTAGCAACTGAATTTTTTAATTGGTACTTGGGGATTGAACCCAGGGGTGCTTTACTTCTGAGCTACATCCCCAGTCATTTTTAAATTTTGTTTCTTTCTTTCTTTTTTTTTTTGGTACCAGGGATTGAACTTAAGGGAGCTTAACCACTGAGCCACACCCCAAGTCTCGTATTATATTTTTATTTAGCGACAGGTTCTGAGTTGCTTAGGGCCTCACTAAGTTGCTGATGTGGGCTTTGAACTTGTGATCCTCCTGCTTCAGCTTCCTGAGCTGCTATGATTATGGGCATGTTCCACTGTACCCAGCCTTTTTTTAATTTTTGAGACAGGGTCTCACTAAATTGTTGAGGATCTCACCAAGTTTCCGAGTCTGGTCTCAAACTTGCCATCTCCCTGCCTCAGCCTCCTAATTCATTGGTAATACAAGTGTGCACCACCACACCCAGCCTAGCAATGGAAATTTTTCATACATTGCTTTTAGGAATATACAATGGCAAGGCTCATTCTGATATGTGCTTAACTAAACATGTACTTATCATAGAACTCCACAAGTCATTCTTGGGCATTTATCCAAGAGAAATGATAATTTGTGTTCACACAAAAACCTGTATGTAAATGTTCATGGTAACTTTACAATAGCAAAACCAGGTAATCCATAAGTCTTTCAATCACAACCCATATGGACCTCAAGAACATTATACTTAGTGAAAAAAAAAGTCAATCTCCAAAGTACAGGATTTCATTTGCATAACATTCTCAAAATTACAAAAATTTAGAGATTGAGAACAGATCAATCACTGAAAAAGTGTAAAAGTAAAGCAGGATGGATATGAATATAAATGGAAAATACAAAGGAGGCAACTGAAGAGTTTTACATCTTGGCAGTGCTGATGATCACCCAACTCACTATGTGTATACATGGGATAAAACCACAGAGAACCACTTGTACATGAACACATGTAAAAATGATGAAAACTGAATAAAGCCCACATTCTAGTTAATATTATTGTACCATTACCAATTTCCTGAATTTGAGATTATGCTAGCTATATAACATATCACTAAGAGGGAGAGCTTGGTGATAGATACATGGGTCTCTATATACTACTTTTTCAATTTCCTGTGAGTCTATAATTATTTTAAAATATTTTTAAAATATTTCTTAAAGTTGTAAATGTACACAATACCTTTATTTTTTAATTTATTTTTATGTGGTGCTGAGGATCAAACCCAGTGCCTCATGCATGCTAGGCAAGCACTCTACCCCTGAGCCACAACCCCAGCCCCTTAAAATATTTTTTAAAGAAAACTATTTCAGAGTTGCAGAAATTTACCTTGGTACATTTCATAACCAGAATTGTTCTTACTGTGTTAATTGCTATTCATGCATATGTGAGGCAGTTTAAAAAGTCCTCCACCTTTTGATAGGTTTTGCAAATAGGTATGCTGAAGGAAACTGCACTAATATTTCTTTTTAAAATACTGACCTGGGCTGGAGTTGTGGCTCAGCAGTAGAGCACTCACCTAGTGTGAACGAGGCCCTGGGTTCAATCCTCAGCACCACATAAAAATAAAAATGAAGGTATTCTGTCCAGCTACAACTAAATAAACAAAATATTTTTTATTTATATTTTATATTTATATTTTTAAAATAAAGTTACATGCATATGATAAAAATATTAATATTTTACATCCTAAATAGCTTTTGTTCATGTAGGAGATAGAAATATAATGTTTTAGAAATAAAAACTGAAATTTAAAAAATATTTACTAACCCTTTAAAATAACAATAGTGACTGGGGTGTTGCTCAGTGGTAGAGCACTTGTGTGGTTTTGCATTTGATCCCAGAACCAAAAAGAAAAAAATAGTAAAATAGAAAAAAATAACAATGAACCCACTACAAATTTGTGTAAATAAAATTTTATTAAAAGAACCACTTTACATTTTTTTGCAAATAACTTTAATATCTGCATTAATACAAACAGCTAGATTCTCATATTTGCTTCTTATTTAAGGTTGTAATATGTTGTTTTGGTTGAATTTTATGAAAAAAATCCAAATTCATGGAGATTCAGTTAGAAAAAGGACGAATTCCTAAACACCCTGAAAAGGTCCCAGGTGTCTCCAGGGTTACTCAGACCACACTTTGGAGAACCACTGTGGTTAGAGAGACATTAAAATATTTATAAATAAAATATTAGCATATCTGCAATTTGGATTAAACTCTTCCCAAACACACATAAAACCTATGTCAGGGTGTACACAAATGATTCTTATTATTTGTGGTAGTGAGGCTATATAAAGTCAACTTATACAATTAATTAGCAAATAGTGAACTATTACTCACAGTAGAACTCCAAGGTTCAGTTCCTGTGAACCTCTGGTCTCATTCCTTTCAAATGATCAATACATGAATTAGTTTTATATATGTTTCTGTTTAAAGATATCTTATTTAGGGCTGGGGATGTGGCTCAAGCGGTAGCGCGCTTGCCTGGCATGCGTGCGGCCCGGGTTCGATCCCCAGCACCACATGCAAACAAAGATGTTGTGTCCGCTGATAACTAAGAAATAAAATGTTTAAAAAAAAAAAAAGATATCTTATTTATTATCTATTTTTTTAAAGAATTGAATTTGGTGTCAACATACCTTATATATAATCAGAGATATGATAAATTATGATATCATGGTGTATTAAGATTTGTAATACAAAAATAAAGAAAGAAAATTTAAAAAGAATTAATTATATATGATATTTCTTTACAACAAAACATGAGGCGAGAAGGGTTTAAATTTTTCCTGCTCTCAGGTAGCATGACCATAAATGACTTTAGTTTTCAGCCACACAACAGTGCTCTCCACTCTGCTTTTTAAAATCAGTCATCTCATAAACCCATTAATTTAGGTGCTTTTCCATCTATTCCACAGCTTCATCTCACACTAAAGATGGTATCTTATCTCTTCTCAGAGAAGGCTCACATATTTTATTTTAGTTGTAAATGAACACAATATCTTTATTTTATTTTATTTTTAATTTACTTTATTTTTTACGTGATGCCAGGGATTAAATCCATTGCCTTACACATGCTAGGCAAGTGCTCTACCAGTGAGCCACAACTCCAGCCCCAAGCCTCACATATTAACTGGCAAATTTCTTCTTCCTTTTTCTGGATGTACCATATTGTTGATTCATTAATATTGAACTCACAACCAACAGTATTATAACTCATGCCTAAATGAAGCTTATCTAATACATATATTTTCTCCATAAGGCACATCACTTCTGGCAATTAGGAACACTAGACAACATATCAGTGTAATGATTAGGGGCCATTTTAAACAGTGAAATCATCAATAAAAGGCATAAAAAATGTGGCATTAGATAGACTATGAAAAATATATAGCATAAGAGCTAAAACAAGAAGACAGTGTGTCATTTTATCCAAACTCAACTGAGAACATTGAGTGCTTGGCCAATCTGTGCAGGTCCACGAATGACCATGAAAGTACTTCAGGTACTGATTGTGGGGTTTAAGATAAGTTTAAGCAAGTAGGTAAACTTGCAAATATGAAATCTGTGAATAAAAAGGACCAACTACTTTAAACAACTTACAACTGCACATACCCACACACGTGTGTGTGTGCACGCACACATGTGTATGACATTTTATTGATGAGCAGAAATAAATATTGGTGCTGGAATATGGGGGTTCATTATTCTAGTCTAATTTTGTATATGTTTGCATTTTTTCCAAAATGAGAAAGTTTTTTAAAAGTGGTTTATTTTTGCATTGGATTACTATTCCACTTTGCCTTGATCGGGCTTTTCCTTGGGGAAGTCTGCTACTGTGAAAGGTGAAGCAAAAGTGACTTTATGGTCCTGCTACTGTGAAAGGTGAAGCAAAACTGACTTTATGGTACAGAGGGTCAACCACCACCAGCTCAAACTACCACAAGTCTTCCTTGGGGGCCAATACTTAGTCCCTGCTGAAAGTGGGACAGCAACAGGCAGAGGTATGAGGTCAACAGCTCTTTTTCTTGGAAAGAATTTCTAGGTAATTATCTAAGAGGCAATGGAATTTAAACCCTATAATATTTTGAGAGCCCACTGAGCCCAGACCAGCTTACTCTGTGGAAGTATGGTTTTAATGTGACCTTAGTAAAGATAACTTAGATTTTAGTTCAAGAGTGTAGATTCAGTCACTTTCTGGCCTGGGTTAAGTCAGTAAATCCTTGGTAGATCCAACATTTTCCAACAAATTTTCATATATTTTATATATATATATATATATATATATATATATATATATATATATAACCTATACATACATGTAAAATATATATAAACACATACACACATACATACACATGTAACATTTATATAATTATATATGTTTGAAAGCTTGGCATTTTTAAATATCCAGAGGAGGGAAGATACCTTCTAATTTAGAAGCTAAAGTATCCTACT